ATCACATATGTCATTACTGTAGTCCAAAAATGCCTGATGACAGAGAGCTTTTACTGCCTTCTCCAAAGCCTGTAGGCAGGATTTCAGAGGAAGGAACTGGCAAAAGCATCTCAGAGTATCCTCTGCCTGAAGAAATCCTATGAGATTCATGGGGTTGTCATAATTTCACTCGTCACCTGATAGGACTTATGCATGCTTTCTTTTCTGGAGAAGTTTGCCTGGCATCCATTTAAAGACATTTTTGTGTTTACCTATTTTTAACTTCATGATGCCATCATTTTAATACTGGATTCAGCAGACGGTTGTTACTAGGGGTTGTTGTTTGTTTACTTCAACTTGTTTATGTTGAAACAATTTAGTTGATTTATTAGTACTAGGAGTTGTTTATCCTTAATGTTTGATTTGGATTGCATTGCTATATTGTTGCTGTTTTAATTTATATTATTTGTGTGATTGTTTACATCATTTAGAAAGGCGGATTAGGTTACTCATTTGTAACTATTGCTCAAGTTGGCATTTGTCAGTTGGCATTTGAGATCCAGTGTAGTGTAATGGTTTTCACGTTGGACTAGGAATCTGGCAGACCAGGGTTCATATCTCCACTTATAAATACACTCTCTCCGCCTTAGAGGAAAGCAGAAGAAATCTCAGGAGAAAACTATAAAATTAATTGGATTGCCATAAGTCAGCAGGTAACTTAAAGGCACATACCCTCACATGCCAAAACCTTTAGGTATTTTAAACCTATTTGCTTCTCAACATATGGATTAAGTTTTTCTTCCCCAATGGTTTTGGAGCTTTAGTATCATAAGTAGTGTTGCTGAACCTACAATATGTTTTGTTTCGCCCCATGTAAACACCCATCAGTTGACTCATGTTCACTGCTGAAGACTTTTCAGAGCAGAAATATCTGTTGGTTATCACTTCCATATTGCTACGGGTCTCATAACACATAGTAACAGTAGATGGCATTATAGCATAAACTTTTATATGAGTTTAGTCTTTTCTTTATGTTCATGATTTGTAAACAGGGAGCCTCAGAATATGCCTGATACCATTTTCACGCCTGTAAAGTTGTGACATACACCCTACAGGCACAGAACAGAAGTGATTCTGCTTCTGATAAGAATCACAATGAGTTTCTATCTCAAACAATGATAAGCATCATTTGCTATGCAAATCATAATTCAGATTTCCAGTGCTATTTTTTTTTCTTCTGAACTGTGAAAAGACCTGCCAGAAGACATTTGACAGTGCAATACACTGTTTGAATTTAAAACAGCAATAAATAGCTGTCTCTCCTGGCAGACCTAGCTAGGTGATTTTTCAATTGTGTAGTGAGTTAAAAAACACATTACTCTCGTGTATTCTTTTAAACTGATGTTTTAACTGGTTTATGCTGCAAGTCACAGGAACAACTCAGCAAGCAAGAGTCCAAAAGTGGCAGGTTAAAACCTGGAACCCCAATCTATGGCTAAGACCGGGTGAGAAACTCTCTCCTAGGCAGACAGAAGGCTGGGCGACTTGGAAGGTGCTGAACAGGCTATACTTTGGCATGACAAGATGCAGAGCCAACCTTAAGAAATGGGGCTACAAAGTGGAGTCCACAACATGTTGAGTGTGGAGAAGAGCAAACCACAGATCACCTACTACAATGCAGCCTGAGCCCTACCACATACACAATGCAGGACCTTTTCACAGCAATGCTAGAGGTGCTCCAAGTGGTCAGCTTCTGGTCAAAGGACATTTAGCATAATGCCAAGTTTTTAACTTTGTTTGTGGTTTTTCTATACATTATAACTGTATTCACAATTTGCTTCTGACAAATTTGCCTCCTCTGGCTTCTTTATCAGGCAAAAGTGTTAAGAAATCATACAGGACATGTGGAAAAACCTTTATATTTTGCAAATATAAAACTTGCTAATTGTAGTCCAAATGTTAAAAGTTTTATCTTTGCTAAAGGTAGAACATTCAAAGAATTAAATCCCAGTCTTGCTGAGGGCATTCAAGAGATGTAATTTACCCTTTGAAGGAAAAAGAAGAAAGTGCAAAGATACAGAATGGGGGATGGCTGGCTTGACAGCAGTATGTGTGAGAAAAATCTTGGAGTCCTCGTGGACAACCAGTTAGACATGAGCCAACAATGTGATGTGGCAGCTAAAAAGGCCAATGGGATTTTGGCCTGCCTAAATAGGAATTTAGTGTCTAGATCCAGGGAAGTCATGCTGCCCCTCTATTGCGCCTTGGTCAGACCACACCTGGAATAATGTGTCCAATTCTGGGCACTGCAATTAAAGGGAGATGTTGACAAGCTGGAATGTGTCCAGAGGAGGGCGACTAAAATAATCAAGGGTCTGGAGAACAAGCCCTATGAGGAGTGGCTTAAAGAGCTGGGCATGTTAAGCCTGCAGAAGAGAAGGCCGAGAGAAGACGTGATGGCCATGTATAAACATGTGAGGGGACGTCATGGGGAGGCTTGTTTTCTGCTGCCCTGGAGACTAGTACGTGGAACAATGTCTTCAAATTACAGGAAAGAAGATTCCACCTGAACATTAGGAAGAGCTTCCTAATTGGAGAGCTGTTCAGCCACGGAACTCCTTGCCCCAGAGTGTGGTGGAGGCTCCTTATTTTAAATGGAGGCTTGATGGCTATCTGTCAGGGGTACTTTGAATAAGATTTTCCTACTTCTTGGCAGGGGGTTGGACTGGATGGGCCACAAGGTCTCTTCCAGCTCTATGATTCTAACTGCACAGGAGTCAAGGGCAACAACAGCCTCAAGAATGACATGGAGGATGCCGAGAGCTCATCAGTGCTTTAGGTTCTTAATGCATATAACATGCTTTAGCAGTTTAGCTCAATGATCACCATAGCAACCTAACTAAACAATAACTACCATAGTAAACTGAGGCAATATTGCTGTTGCAATATGACAGTGTGGACCTGGCATAAAAGGCGAAACTGTCCAGTGAGATGACAGTTGAGTAGAGAATCAAACTGAAGGTTTCTGGCAGATAGCTCTTTTTTTTTTCTTAACCACTTTGTTACAGCAGTACTTCCCCTGGTAGTTTGGAAAAAGAGACACAAAGTATGGCAACAGTAGCCAATGTCTCTTATTGTACAATGGATATAGCTTTCATGCTGTGAGAAACATTAATGTGTGTTTTACCATCATGTGGGAGGCTTCTCTCATGTGCCCACATGACAAGCTGGGGCTGACAGACAGGAGCTCACCCCACTCCCTTAAAAGAATAGAAAGAAGAAAGGAGGATCAGGCTGCAGGTGGTTTGAAAAACCTGAGCCTCAGACTCTGGACAGCTACTTAGGCAGACAAATACAGTGAGTCCTTAGTATCTGCTGGGGATTGCTTCCAGAACTCCATTTGGGTACCAAAATCCATGGATGCTCATGTCCCATGATATACAGTGGCATGGTACAATGGTGTCCCTTATATAAAATGGTAAACCAAGGTTTGCTTTTGAAATTTTAAAAATATTTTCAAGCTATTCAAGATGGAATCTGAGGATAAAGAATCCATGGATACAGATAGCCAACTGTAGTGCAACTGTAGTATTGAGTAGCTTCCTGCATTTCCAATGTATATTATGTGACCAGCAGCATTGATGGATAAGACTGAACAACCCCTGTTCAATGTATTGTCGAAGGTTTTCATGGCTGGAATCACTGGATTGCTGTGAGTTTTCCAGACTGGATGGCCATGTTCCAGAAGCATTGTCTCCTGATGTTTCATCCACATCTATGGTAGGCATGCTCAGAGGTTGTGAGGTCTTTTGGAAACTAAGAAATTGGGGTTTATATATCCGTGGAACATTCAGGGTGGGAGAAAGAACTCTTGTCTGTTGGAAATTGTGTGATTAAAAACCATGAAAATGAACAAAATCTGGCTACTAGTATTTTTAAAAAACTCTAACATCAGGACAGTAAATAAAGAACACCGCTCAGAAAACAGAGGAATTCTGGACATGAATCTATAAGGGGCTGCTAACACCTCCCAACAAAGGATTCCCCCAGGCAGCAACCACCCAAGCATTGAAGCTGCAAGGCTATTGAATGCTAATCAAGATGGCCAATTGCAGCACTCACACTTGCCTCAAACAGACAAGAGTTCTTTCTCCCACCCTGGACATCCCACAGATATCTAAACCCCAATTGCCTAGTTTCGAACAGACATCACAACTTCTGAGGATGCCTGCCATAGATGTGGGTGAAACGTCAGGAGAGAATGCTCCTGGAACATGGTCATACATCCTGGAAAACTCACAGCAACCCAACCATTGTGACTGTGTGAAAGTAGCCTTTCTGATGAAGATGGGATTTTTTTTAGTAGCTCTGAAGTTTTGTGCTTTAGAAAGCTGTTCTCCCATACCGGGATGATGAGTGTTACCTGTTCAATAATCGGTCAAAAACAGCCCTCCCTCACCCCCTAGAGGTGCTGGGTTAAGATGCCCATGGTCTCTAGAGGGAGATGCCAGGCTCTTCCTCTCCAGCCCTTGCCAGAAGCCACAGGCTGCCTGCCCAGCCTCCTCCTCCTGATCTTTTCCGGAGCCTAGAGGATGCTCGGGACAAGCCCTTGGTATCAACGCTCCCCTTGCTTCTTGGAGGGCCATTTCAGAAGCAAGGGTGGCAAGGCAGGGAGAGGAAGCCCCAGTCCAGCTCTATTCGGCTAGAACATCAAGAGAGCTTGGGCAAGTCCCTTCAGAACCGGCCCCAGAACCAGTCAAAGCTCTTGTAGCCCCTTCACGCATGCGGCGCCTTTAGGAAAGGGGCGCAAGGGAGGCAAAGCCCCCCAAAACAAGCCCGAAGGAAGGTCCGAAGGCGTGCAGGCAAAGGAAACTGGCCAGGTTTCGCCTCTTGGAAGCTGCCCTGGAAAAGGAAGGGCGCTGCGGGCTCGCGCTCTCCACATCTGGATTTGTTCAAAAGAGTTTCCATTTGCAGCTCTGGCTCTCCGGCTGGAAAAGCAAAGGGGACCGGAGGGGGCTTACCTGGCTCTCCCACACTAGGGAGGGGGCACCGCTTGGCCCCACAGGGCGCCCTGGGCTTCGGCGAGGCTCCTTCGCCCGGCTCCCTCCGAAGCGTCTCCCGGAGGCAAGCCCCAGCAGCCTGGACTTCAGCTCAGCTGGGCAGCCCTTTCCAAACTCAGGAGGAGGAGGAGGAGGAGGGAGCCAGCCGGGCGCTTGCCTCCTGCTCCCGGCCCAGAGAGAGGGAGGGGGGGAGGGAGGCGGGGCGGAGGGCCAAAGGGGGCGGGGAGGCAGGCAAGGAGGGGAGGAAGCCAGGAAGGGGTCTCCCGCTGCCTCCCGAGGCAGTCAGCCAGGCCTTCTCGCGCCCCCTCCGAGCACGCGCTCCGCATCTTTGGGCTCAGCGGCAGCAGGAGCAGCAGCAGCCCTTCCCTCGCCTGCCACGGCGCCCCGAGCGCACGGATGGAGAGCGGCTTCTCTTTTGAAACCCTGCTCGGCTCCAACTTTTGTTTGGACAATTTGGGGACAGAAAAAAGAAAGCTGGCCTCTTGGCCCTTTGTTGGTTTCCATTGGGGGAAGTTCTGAGGAAGCCCCAAACACCCAGACTTGGGGGCGGGGGGCGGAGATTAAGGAGAGCGCCCTTGAAAAACCCAGCTCCTTCCTTCCTTCCTTCCTTCCTTCCTTCCTTCCTTCCTTCCTTCCTTCCTTCTTCTTCCCCCTCCTTCCTTCCCTTCCTCCCCTCCTTCCCTCCTCCCTTCCCTTCCTTCCCTCTTTTTCCTTCCTCCTTCCCTTCTTCTTCTTCCTCCTCCTTCTTCCTTCCCCTTCCTTCCTTTCTTCCCCTCCTTCCCTTTCTTTCCTTTTTCCTTCCTTTCTTTTCCTTCCTTCCCTTCTTTCCTTTTCTTCCTCTCCTTCCTTCCTTCCTTCTTCTTTCCTTCCTTCCCTTCCCTCCTTTTTTCCTTCCTTCCTTCCTTCCCTCTTTCTTCCCTCTCTCCCTTCCTTCCTTCCTTCCCTTCCTTCCTTCCTTCCTTCCTTCCTTCCTTCCTTCCTTCCTTCCTTCCTTCCTTCCTTCCTTCCTTCCTCCAGACTCATCCAAACAAATACAAGAGGAACCCAAAGTTTGGCCAAGACGTTTCCCCTCGGGGCGGCTGCCCTCCTCCTCCCCCCCCCCCCCCGTGTGTGTGTGTGTGTGTGTGTGTGAAGGCGCCTGCTTTCCCCTCTTGCTTGCTTTCTCCTTTCCCCTCCTCCCTGCCAGCCAATCTGCCTGCCTGCCTTCTCCCCTTTCCCAGGATATGAGGGGATGTGCCGAGAATCCGCTGCCCACGCCAGGCGCTGACTCATGTTTTTATTAAAGGAAGGAGGCCGGGGCCTTCCATCCACGCCGCGGATCCAAAGCCCCGCGCCCCCCTCCTTGGCACCCGGGGAAACGCCAAGGGGCAAAGCAGGAGGGCGGCTGCGGGTCCTGCCACTGGAGGCCTTATCGCCAGGGAGGAGGAGGAGGAGGAGGAGGAGGAGGTTGACTGACTGACTCCGAGGAGCCTTGTCTGCTGGGCGGAGCCGCTGTTTACCAGCGCCTTTCTTTTGGGAACAATGGCAGGGTTGACAGGCCCGAATGGGACGGGGGTGTGCGTTGCGCCTCGGCCTTGCCTGTTTCCCTTCGGCAGGAGGAGGGCCAGGGCAGGCTCTGTCTCCAGCCCAGCTGCGAGGCCCAAGGAACATAACAGGCCACTCGCGGGCTGAATCCCCTCCAAAGGAAATCTTAGTTCTGCAGAAGAAGTGCAAAGCAAAACCCCAAGGAGGAGGCCAGGCCCCTCTTCCACTTGAACGTTTATATGGAGCAATGGGCAGCATTGGCTCCCTTGAATTTCTTTTGACTGCAACTCCCATCACCTTTCATCATTGGCTAGGCTGGGTGGGAGTTGTAGTCTAGATGTAACTAGAGCAGGGGCGCCTAACCCATTTTCACCAAGGGCCACATCAGCCATAAGGCCGCCTTCAAAGGGTTGGTTGTAATCTCAAGACTATACATGTAACAGTGTTGCCCTGGCATTGAATGCCTTACAGGCCACATAAAATGACTCTGCAGCCTGGATTCGACCCAGGAGCCTTGTGTTTGACACACAGTGATCTTGAATCTAACCAGTCCTAAAGAACTTGTTCTAAATTGGCATGGGCAAACTTCAGCCATCCAGGTATTTTGGATGTCAACTCCCAGAAATCCCGGCCAGTGTACCAGCTCTTAGGAATTGTGGGACTTGAAGTCCAAAACACCTGGAGGGCTGAGCTTTGTTATGCCTGTAACAGGTATGGTGAACAGTTGACCCTCATTACCCACTGAGTCAGCCACCCACAGCTTGAAATTTAAAAGAAAACCCAAAGCCAACCTTCATTTTACCATTTTATATAAGGAACACTTTTTTTTTACTATGCCATTATATATAATGGGACTGGGTTATCCATCAGTTTGGAAATCCACATGGGCCCTGGAAGCAAACCTCGGCTTATATTAAGATCCCACGGTACTGCCCTATTTGAAAAGTTAAAGAAAACTTCTAAAATGAAAACCAGTACTACAACTTCGCTTCAATATGATATGCATTTATTGTGTTTGCATTTGACAAATCTCAGTGGAATCCACAACAAAACCATAGCTGTGACACCTTTGCTGGCCCCTGGATTTGGGATCTAAGTGTCACATTTTGAGGGGGGGGGGAGGGAAGGTCACAAAGTCCTTATATTTTGTATTACAGATGAAGGAAGTATTACTGCTTGAGGGAATGTATGAACTGCTTTAAAGTTTTTTCAGGGATCCCTTTTGTGATCTTTTAGACATTTTACTCCATGTTTGAGATATTATTAAGGCAAGCAGCTTATTTATCAAACCTGGGGACTTATAGAACTGATTTCAAAAAACAAATGAGGAACTTTGTTGCCCACATGGGAGACAAACATTTCTCTGGAAGAAGTGCCTCCCTTTGGTTTGAGTAATGACAATGGAAGATAATGATGCTGGGGGAAATGGAAGGAAAAAGGAAGAGGGACCGACCAAGAGCAAGATGGATGGTTGGTATCCTTGAAGTAACTGGTTTGGAAGGGCTGTAGAAGAACATGAAAACCTGAGAGGTATAATTAGCAAAATTTATAAGATACTAATTGAAATGAAGGATGAAAAAATAAAAAAGTGTACCC